GATGACATCTTTTATTCTGAGTTCAAGTGTTTTTTTCGGTGGTTATTATATTTCTACTTGACGATTGTTTTTTGTGGTGTGTTGATTAACTCTGTTTTAAAAAAGATGATGTAGGAAGAACGATTGATATTGACATATAACTTTCATGTTTTGTTTACAGTCCAAGTCACGAACACCACCTCCTCCCCCCTGGGGAGAAAGTTCTCGTCGTTGTGAGTGAGAAAGAGACTAGCTCCATCATAGCTTACACACTGAGGTGAGACGCGTGAGTAGGCACGCATAGCGTGCTGATGAAATTTCGGTTTTCCCAAACTTTGTGTCTAACACGTGTGACGGGTGGTAGTTCTAGAAAAGGTTATCCCTGAAAGTATGACTAAACCTCACCAATTTGCTGTGATAAAAGCTGATATCCTCCTCAAAATTATGAATTCGTTGCCACCGAGATTCGCAATATTCTGTATAGAGGAACCAGTTGTATACCCCACTCCCCTTTCGTAACTCCCCCCCCCTCTTCTTTACTCCAATATTGTGTATTTCTGTATTTTGAATGAGATTACGGGGGGTGGGGAATTTAGTCTAGATTTGGTGAACTTTGAACTTATTCTTGAGGGAAGGGGTTGTAATATTGAGGTAAGGTACTTTTAAACTTCATTTCTGAAATGCAGCCACGCGAATACTATGTGGAAAGTTAGTTTCACGCAGATTATGTCTTTTGGCTCAACTGTTTTATTGAACAATTAAACGTGCATGAAAATTATTGGTTTGGTTTATGACGACCATGCGTGGTCAAATGTTTCTTTGATTTTGTTTCAGTACAAAGGAATACAACGAACGCTTGCTTCAAATTCAGCAGACACTATCAGAGATCAAGAACGGGGCAGCTAGAGAACACTTACAGGGCAAAGGGTGAATATCGATTGTTTTGTATTATCGGTACTCCTCCCTCTGGCTTACAAGATTTTATGACGAGTCACTCCCGAGTCAATCGAGGTTGTGTGAAGTCAGGGAAATAGTGTCACGTATATTTTAAGGTTTTATCATTTGTTAAAGAGCACATTTTCATAGAAGGCTGTTCCTTCACTTGATCTCTTTCACAGAACAATTTCTGTGTTTGCTCCGTTTCTAGGCCGTCTTTACAGGAATCTTTTTAGAGTAGCCTATTTGTTCTTTTATCATTCAAATCGAGCAATATCACCGACAAGAACAGCAACACTTAACAAGGTTTTTTTAACACCTTTCCAGTCTCTCGTTTTTTTCTGGCGCCTCGGGTTTTCGGTGTCTTTGTGCGCTTTTATTCAAGTCTTAGTTTCGTCTAAGTTCACCTCAGCGACGCAATTTCCCACATTTTCTCTTCTCACGTGTTTCTATGCTCTCCAAGATAATTTTTCCCGCGCTTTCAATCATTCACACGTTTGCTCACCTTTGACAAGTTTTTTTTTCAGGCAACGATTCCTTAATGTCTCATTTTAAGCGCGTCATTAACAAGCACGCCAGAGCTAACGTTCTAACAATTTCGTTATTTCAGGGACGTCATTAAAACTGGAGATTTATCTGTCAAAAGCCTTTCACATCTGGGCAGTCATTGTGGTACACAGACGTTCATTAGAGTTGATTCCAGTCCAGAGGGGGGAGAAGGTAATTTTTTTTTCTTAGAAATGATAGATCAATGTCAGTATTTGAGGACAGGGTGAAAATATGCAGCCTCTTCTTCTACTGTTTTGTTTTTATCCATTCTCCGGTTTTTTAAGCTGGGGAAATCTGAATATCAGAAAATGCGATCTAATCGATAACTTGATGGATCGTGAAGCGTTGAGGAGAATTACATTTTTCAAGGAAAAGAGAATGAGCAAACTTTCAAGTTATTTATATCAGTAGTTCTGTACGGCGTTTTATCTTCATCAGTTTGTAAACACGGCGAAAAGTTTTGTTGATGAAACTTTTTATGGCCTATTAAACCTCCCCTTTTGTTAAAAACAGCTTTATTGATATATTTACTTGGGAAAGTGTTGTCTCCAGGACGTGGTATAGGGGTAAAGGCTCTATGAATGGGCTTCTGAACAGAGTGGCTCTGGAATGAATATCGCCCAGCGTTTTAACCCTTTAATCGGTGAGAGTGACCAGTATCTAATTTCTCCTTCCAATATCACCCATAAATCAAACGTTAAGGTCACAAGAATAAAGGAAATGATGATTACTTGAAAAACCTCTTAATTGTTAAGCAAGTTCTCCTTGCAAGTACATTAGGAAATGTATAGAGATCGGTATGGAGAATATGCATACTGATGTTAGAATGTACAGGGTTAAACCAGTAAGAGAAGTTTCGATCTACGTCTGAGGCCCCACAGCTTCGTTAACTAAAGCACTCTTTCGCTCAGGTTATGTGCATTTAGACATTGTGAATCCCGAAACGGGATTGGCAGTGGGAGAAGAAGGGGAAACGCCTTCTGTTGCCAAAGAAAAGTTAGAATTTATGAGCAAGAGTCAAGAATTCCACGCAGAGCCTGAGCCACAGGCCACCCAACATGCTAAACACCGAAAAGTGGAGAGAGTTGTGTTTACAAAAGGGAAGAACAACGCCCCTTGTCCCAAGGACGACGTAAAGAAGTTGGAGAATAACGCACCGCCAGACATTCCGGCACAAGATGACATCGGTAAGAATAAACAATATTTTTTTTCGTGAACGAGGGAGACGGCTGGGTGCCATAAAAGTATTTCGATGTTCTTGGGGAGGGGGAAGAGGCTTGTTAGTTAGGTGCCAAGAAATATTCTCCAAAGACGAGGAAGCTGAAGGAAGATACTCTGACTGTATCTTGTTCAAAAAAGGGGGAAAAAGAAGAAGCCTGGGAACAATATTGATTAAAAAAGAGGAATATGGACTATTTAAGTCGTCGAGATTTGCTCTTAAGAACCTCCCCGTGAAATGCAATGGAAACACAATTGAGGAAGAGTTGACCGATAGTGACGTTTTTCTAGTTTCATTTGATGTCTGTGATCTTTTGTCTCTCTCGGTAGGACTCTTGCAGTTTGGCTTTCAAAGGAAGGATGCTAACCCGGTTGTGGATTTTCATGTTAAGCACCGTAAGAAAGTTTTGCTCGTTTGTTTGCACGTTTGTTTTACAGGGAGAGCCTTGTTTCAGAGCTTAAATGAATGCTTGAGAGCGTTACGCTATCTTTACTTGACGGGTCATGCAAAAGAAAGCGAGGGCAGGTCGCGTGACTGTTTCAATATTTTCCACTGATGTTTTCCCGAGACTATTTGGTTTAGACTTTTTTTGACTTAAAAAACGTATGCCTTTATTTTGTTTTAATTTCAGAGTTTGCTGACAGTACTTGCCGATTTTACTTCAGTATCTATTACGCGGAGCAATTCAGATCTCTGCGAAAGAGGATCTTTCCTGACGGCGAGGAGAAGTAAGTTAAAAACATAGATGTATTTTTGCTTGGATTTCCTTAACCTCATTGATACCTACACCATTGCTGAAGCCGATTCGTGTGGCAAATTGCGCAGGAGGAAACTGCCCTTTTGTTTTTATTATTAAACAAAGTAGAAAGACAAATTTCTTTGACTGAAAAATATGAAAGCTGCACGATTGCAATTGTCTTAGTGAAATTGCCGATATTTTGTGTGTATTCTGCAAGATATTAGCTAACGCCTAAAAGGACTGGCGTCTAATTTTTGCTTACAGTATCACCCTTGAATTAAATGTTAAGGTCATGAGAATAATGGAAATGATCACCAATTTAAGAAGCTAAAGATTGTCAAACAAATTCTCCTTGTCAGTACCACAGGAAATGTGGAGAGATCAGTGTGGAGAATATGAATACTAATATTAGGGTGTAAAGGGTTACGGTTTTGGTTGATATTTTCCTGCTTACAGCCATTTTTGTTTTGCCAAAATTGCACGACGATCATCGAAGCTTAGAGTATGGTGAAAATTACCCACATTCTCCCCTCCCTTGCAACTGAAAGGTATTCCAG